TGTGTGTGTGTGTGTGTGTGTGTGTGTGTGTGTGTGTGTGTGTGTGTGTGTGCACACAATCAATTTTTTTCAATGACAGAAGAAGAAATTGTTTCACTTTGTCAAACCAGCTAAAACTGAGAGCTAAAACAAAGTCTGAACTTGTTTCTTGTGATGATAAATTGAATTACTCCTTGATGGGCTGATGTGAACTACTACCATGAACCCACTTCATAATAAAATTGAAAAGTAGGATCTGATTACATCATCATCATATTATAAAAGCACTGAGTTGTAGTTTTTTCCCCTTAGCTTCCCCAAATTTACTCCTTCCTGACTCTTAGAATGAGACCCAGATTTTCCACCATCTGCAAAGTGTAACAAAGTCCACTTTTCCGTTTAACCAACAGCACAAATGCTCTGAATTGGCAAAGAAACCCCCCAAAAAGCAAATTTTTAATTAGTGTATTGCTCTTGTATTCTGCTAAGGAGAAACTTTCTTTCTTGAACCCCACCACCCCCCTTTTTCCTTACCTTCTTTCTTTCTTTGAGCAACCTGCGCCTGCTGTATTTGTTTGGTTTTCACCAAATGAGCCTTTGTCCCGCTGCAAATTTCCACAAGAAAATAAACAACACCTGAAAACTAAAATATTCAGCAACAACAAATGACTCTAATAGATAAATTGAAATTCATGAAGCCTTTTTTTTTTAGCTTGAGGATGACGTGGACTAAAATGCATACTGGCTATATTTGATGCTTATGAATACAATTTTATAATATTAGCCATGCAGGGCCGAAGTAGGCTTTTCAAGACTTTTAAGAGGAGGGGGCAGAGGTTGAAGGACCAGGTTATATGTGCATGTGTGTATGTGGGTGGGAGGGTGGGGTGGGCTGGAGTCAGGCATCCCTTATTAGAAAACCATGTCACATTCTCCTCTGTGGCGACCGGACTCGCTGCTCTGCCAATAATCCCCCCTCCAAGACCCCGTCTGCGTGTCATTCAGTTTCCTCATAAGTAGTTGGAGAAACTGTTTTCAGTTGCCACTAATAACTACTGACCTCCAGTGACACAGGCCAACAATGGATTTTTCAGGCCTGAAACGCACAACTAAAGAAGCTGATTAGGAACTCAAGAGGCTTGAAGCAAGAATCAATGGTTACTCTGTCCTGCCGCAGGGTTTCCAGCATGGTGCTGATGGTTGTGGGACCTCCATTAGTTATGCCTCATTAAGTCCCACAAACTCTCTTTTAAAGAAAATTAGTTGAGCCGCTTCTGCAATCTTTTACGTTGTGAATCCCCCGCTGAGGTGTCAGTTAGTGTTTGATATCGTTTTAAAGAAAGATGTTGTGTTTGCTCTGTTTGCTGCACCGTTTGTTTCTGCAATAACATTTTGGATCTTTATCACCTCGCAGTTTTTCTTTTTTTATTTATGCAAATGATGCTTTTCAAGTATTATCCTCAGCCTGTTTAACATTTGATTGAAATGTTGCAGAACTGAGCCAAAGAAAAGAAAAAAAAAATCCAGGAGTTTGATTTCTTTATTGCTGTCAAAAAGAGCTTTCACACGAAAAATTTGACCTGTTTTTGTGTCTGTAAAAGTTGAAAAAAAAGTGCATTTAATTCCCCAAAAAGATTTATTTGTTTAGCTTTTTGGCTTTGCAACAAATTCTAAAACTATAAAGACACAGAAAGGATTTCTTGCACTAAAATGGCAACATGTCATCTTGGAAAACGTTTCTCCGATGGATTTGTAAAGCTGTTGAAAATGTTCTTTTTTTCCTTCTGTCTTCTGAAACACGTGATGCATTCACACCCTTGGAGTGTGTTTTTTTTAACAGTAAAAAAAAAAGAAAACAAAAAATTCAAATTAAAACATGCAGCCAACATTTAATTATCACGTTTAAACAGCCTATAGAATGAGTCGGAGGGAAAATTGATTAGACATTCAGTTCTCGTATTCAGAAATATGAAAGAAAGGCACATTTACAGGACAAAAGAGTTCATCTCTGTCCTTCACTGCACTCCTTTTTTACGTTTGAACTAGCAAGCAGTTTTCTCCCATCTCACCGTTGCCACGGCAATGGCCAGCTGCCAGTGTGTGGATTACTGGTTAATAGAGCCRGGGCTGGAGAGCAGTTCAATGAAGGTAAGCAATGGATAAGATCAGTGTGTCTTGGCTCCTGCAAAGTTATTTAAGTATGAATGCCCATAAGGTTGTGTTACGGTTTCTAGTTTCATTGTTTCATCATCCTTCTAGTCACAGCTTAATGTAATTTCACTTAATTATCAGTCTGTTTAAATATAAAGTTAATTAGCAGAATTTGAGATAAAAGGCGTGCAACTTGTAAAAACAAATCAAAAACATAAGCAAATGAGAAGTTGTCGAATTAAAAAGATCTGCAGAATTCAAGGACAGAATTTATTAAAAGCTTGTAAAAATACTCTGAATCAGTTAATGGGGGGCAATGATCCAAACTCAAACA